TTTAAGGCAAAAATCAGGATATAAGTAAAGATCATGTTCCATGAAAATATTTAGTAAATTTCCTACCGTAAGTATATCAAAACTTAATTTTTGTTTAGTAATATGCATTGCTAAGAACTTCATTTGGACATCTTTAAAGGCGATTTTCTCAGTATTTAGATTTTTTTTGCTCCCTCAGATTCCAGATTTTCAAATAGTTGTATCTCAGCCAAATAGTGTTCTATCCTAACAAACCATACATCAATGGAAAGCTTATTTATTCAGCTTTCAGATGATGTATGCATCTCAATTAAAAAAAAATGACCCTTGTGACTGGTTTTGTGGTCCAGGATCACATATTTGATTTAATTCAAATTAACAATGAATCACTTTAATATTTAAACAGTGAAGATGTTTTTCTCTCACTCTTCCTCTGGTGGTTTTTCTGCTTGTGTTGAATTAAAGGAACAGGCTGGGCAGATTTCTAACTTAGCAGTGTTAGGCTCCAGCATTGTTTGTGACTCTTAAATCGTCTCTGATTCTTTCAGATGTTGTGTGGATGTGTGTGGGTGGATGCCGCAGTAATATCAGGGGACAGGAAGTGGAATATTTCATCGTTTAATTACGTTTAGCTTCCTTAAACGCTCATTTTAGGCATCGGTGCTTTGGTAATCGCCTGCTTCTCCCTGAGGAAGACCAGTCCTCTAGTGACTGCAGATTACCTGGATTATGAGGACAATCGGGGTTTAACTGGACTTCATTCATATATACACACACACACTCACACACAGGTTTATTTTTATGAATCGTGCGGACATTCCATAGGCGTAATGATTTTTATACTGTACAAACCGTATTTTCTATCACCCTACACCAACCTTACACCCCTTACAGGAAACTTTCTGCATTTTTAGATTTTCAAAAAAACTAATTCTTTTTTATTTATTTAATTTTATTGTTTTATTAAAAAAACCTTATTCTGAATGATTTATAAGCCTTTTGAAATATGGGGACACTCAAAATGTCCTCATAAATCACCTTCTTGTTGTAAAACCTGTCATACCCTTGTCATTTTACTCATTTGTGTCCTCATAAATCACAAAAACGCGCGCACGCGCACACACACACACACACACACAAACAAACACACACGTTTACATCCACACACACACACACACACTCTTCCTGTGTTTGTGTTATTTGTGTCTCTGGTTGGTGTCTGATATGTGTGTGCTGGGTGTGTGTGTTTACTGCATTCCCCACAGTATTTCTACATTGTTTACTGTGTGTCTGTGTGTGTGTGTGTGTGTATCACGCAGCAGCACTAGACTGTGTAAACGAGTCGTTCACAGATAGTTTGGCTTTGCGTGTGTTTTTGTTTCTGTTCTAGTCTGATTAATATTTCATGAGCGTTTGTGTGCTGCTGAACATGTGTTAAATATAGTCTGCGCATGTTTAAAGTGAATCGCGTGATGTCTGCAGTCACTGTGAAACATGAAACAGCATCAGCAGCATCACAGTGTGAGTGAAGAGAGTGAAATCAGCAGCCTCTGCTCCGAGATCACAGCCGTGCTCACAAATAAAGCCATTAGTATCACCACGCCAACATCAGATGCAGTCAAGACACCTCACATTAGTTCACCAGCGCCAAATGAGTTCCGGCCTGAAGTCTGGTGCACTTTGCATGTTTTTATAGCCAAGAGTTGCTCATTTAAGAACAGACTGCCAGACCCACAGTTCACTGATCTATGTGATGTTTAGAAGAGCGTTCATCTGAAATAGGTGATGTTGTTATCCTCACCCGGTTCAGACCGACACAAAAGAGCTGCATCTGGAAGAAAAGCAACTCCTCTTCTCATGCACTTGTGGTTTGAACCCTAAAATCAATAACCTGTGTGACTGTCAGGAGCCTAAACACACGACACCAGCTGGAAAAACACTGACTTTTACCTCTAACAGTTATTTCAGTATCACTGATATACTGTTATAGTTTTTGTTAATATTGAATATTTTATTTTCTGCTTTTGTTTAAGTTGTGTTTGTCATTTTTTCATACATTCCCCCCCCCCCCCCACATCTTATTT